AATAGAAATTAAATATATCTATGTCTCTGTCCTTCCCTCCATCCATCGATCTATGCACCCACCACATAGCAATATTTATTTATTTTTATTAAATTCTTTATTTTTGGTGCAAGCAAAGAATAACAGACATACGTATGTCACCACGATAGTAAGTACATGTATTAAGTGATATATCACGGTAAATACATATCATGGTTAGAAAATAATTTGCAAAATTTTTTATTAAAACAGAACTGTCAGGGATGTTGTAACGAGAGGTTACATATTAATTTTGTGTAAGGAGGTGGTAATTGTGTGTGTATGGGGTGCCGTGTGTGTGTGTGTGGGGGGCAGTGTGTGTGTGTATGGGGGGAGTTATTGTGTGGTGTGGGGTCTGTGGAGGTGGGAGGGCAAATTCATAAATATGAATTTAAAAAAATAATTTTCATATACCCCCTCCCTGCTTACCTTTGCCTGGGAGAGGGAACAATCCCTGGTGGTCCGGTAGAGAAGTCCTGGTGGTCCCAGTGGTGAGAGTGAATTCTAGCAGCCTCAGGAGCTGCTAGAGTTTAATCTCGCGAGATTCAGAGCATTGCCGTGGTAACTATGGCAACGCTCTGAATGCGCGAGAGGAGAACCCGGCAGAGCTGCAGGTTACAGCTCCCCGGGTCCTCTCTCCCCTGCCAGCTGCCAGCAGTACACTGTGAGCGGGCCAGAGAGAGAGATCATAGCACCAGGAAAATATCTTGTGGCTCCCCTGGGCACACAGTTTGGGAACCGCTAGGTTAAACCATGAACAGTTCAACAGCAAGTCTGTACTCCAGTAATTTTCCGCTCTCCCCCTGTCCTTCTGCTCTCTGAAACTCTTTTTCTATGAATGGGGAACTACTGACCATTCTAAGCCTATCAGCGGCACCCCTGCCCAATGCTGTCTGAGCTTTCCGTTATAAAGAATTTCAGAGAGCAGAAGAACAGGGGCAGAGTGGAACGGTGCTGGAGCACAGACTTCAGGGTTAAACCATTCAGATAGCCCAGCACCAGGGAACTCCTGGCACCATAACAACTGCATTTCAATTTCTAATTTTCCTTAAAATTTGAAATGTAGATTGTTTTCTCTTTTTGTAAGCACTTCCTCGGGCAGACGTTTGGTGTTAGCATATTATAATCAGAGAGACTGCACGCAGCTTCTTCTTCCATCATAAATGTGTCAATGGGCAGTAGTAGTTATGGTGATAAGAGTGTTCTTATAACCCAACAAATGGTAACGAGAGCATTTCAGCTTTTTCTGCACCATACTTCCCGTGATATTAAGTCAAAGTAAAGATTGGCTGAGCATTATGGGACATTTAGTTCTTGAGCACCTAGTGTTCCCAAGTTAGGATTCTCAGTGTTAGCCAACAGGATGATGAAATTATTTCGTTTTTTGCTTTGTCTCCGACCAGTGTCATTTTACAGCTGACTCAGGTGCCGTGGAGTAGCACAGGAGCCTTCAGAGGTGAGAGATCCCTCAAATGTATCACAATCCTCAGCTTATCTCATATTAAATTCCAATAACTGAAGGACAATGCATTAGCTCCATTTACTAATCAATCTATTAACGCTCCTTTCTATTTCCTGTCTGATGTTTCACTAGATGATTAGTAACATCTTGTGATGGAATTCTGATTTCAGACTTGGTACAGGGGTGAATCTTGGAACCCATTCAATTTCATCTCCTTATGTACAAAGGGCTGTGAATGAAGCGTTTAATGTTTAATTGCTTCATTCCTTTTGTACAGTATTTGTAAGGAATTGCATTAAAACATTAGGGGCCACTGAAAGAGCGATATTATATGTGTCACTTTTCAGCTCGAGAGAAATTGCAGTGATTTATTTTTCCTTTTTTTCCCCCGTTTATTTGTTTTTCTTGTTACAAGATACATAAATCAACAAATGCCTGTAAGTAAAAAAAAAAAAAAAAAGTGCATCCTTAAAATTCTGCTTTTTGTCATAAATGAGGAAATACGTCCTCCCTGTTACTCCCATCAGCGGTGAAAGGGTTGCAGTGGGTTACAATGTTCCGCAGCATTGTTACCTTGGCTAATAACAACGTGACAAGTGGGGTTCTGATAAAGTAGAGTCATTTCATTGCGCCAGGGGTGGTAGCGCCTCCAACTGACACCTCCATTTATGTTAAATATTTATCCACGTTTGCATCATTGCTTCCACGCAGTTACAATGTTAACCCTATTTGTTGAAGAGAACCTCTACGCGTGTAACAGGAAAAAATATACTATCTATATAATGTAGCAAACAGTGCAAGTATAAAGATAATAAACACTTTTAAAAATAATTAATAATTAAAATGATGTAGGGGTGACGACGCTAACCATTATTTTATAGAGGTTCCAGCTGATCTATAGCTTCCTATTAATTTCTGTGGAAATATTAGTGAATTTGTAGTGTGTGTGTGACATCACACATGAACGAGTTAATTAATTCCTGGAATAGTACAGCCTATTTGTCACACCTCCACCCTAATTCCCAAAAACGAAATGTCCCCCTTTGGGTGTTAGAAATTCTAGAACAGGCTTCCCCAAACTCCGGCCCTCCAGATGTTGCTGAACTACAACTCCCATGATTCTATGAATGAAATCGATAGGCTGAGAATTATGGGAGTTGTAGTTCAGCAACATCTGGAGGGCTGGAGTCTGGGGAAACCAGATCAGGTGTCTTAACATAAAAAAGGTGAATATCCCTTTAAGAAGAAACAACCAATCTGTATCTCTTTTGGATATGTGCCAGGTGTCCTAGATTTCTAGGGATAGTCTCAGACTGTCACTTTGTGTCCACCTATTCTGCTGTTTTTGTATTGCTTCTAGGAATCACATTTTATTACACTTTTATTTTTATTTTGACATAAAACCAGTGCTTTAAAGTGTATTCTTCTTTCTTTTTTAAAATCTCAGTAGCTGCTGGACATGCCATAGCCTGTTAAAATGAATGAACCTAATAAAATATATCAGGTTTTCAGGTTTTCAGATGACAGTCCACTAGCCTCTGCGACTCCCCTTTGGACACAGTTTGGCCCGTGTAAAACTAACCCCTTGAAGGAGTAGCAAGTTTAAAAAAAAATCTCACCAGCAGAATATATCATTCATAAAACAGCTTTATGGCAAATCATAAGGAATGATATTTCTGATATAAAAGCAGGGCCTTGAAAGGTGATATAACTTAAAAATTGGGGTCACAAATCAGCTCCTTGAAGAACGGAAAACTGAGCTAGTAAAATCTGGTGGCCATCTGCTGCTCTTTCACGGGGCTTTGAATTATGAATGTCTGTTTTTGTATGAGACTTTATGAAAATAAGGCTTTAAACTTGGCCGGATCTCCTGTACCACTTAGATGACATCTGCTTGGCAGGAACAGAGGACTGCATCTAATACACTGAGCTTCATGTGGGCTAAGGGTCCTGTTTGAAAGCTGATGTAAAACTTTTTCAAATTTTCACCTATATAATTTCTACTTAAAGAAGGGGTGCTTATCGGTAAGGAATAGAGCTATAGAAAATGAGGTCTACCTCGACCTCGGTACAATCTAGGCAAAATTAGACCAAATATATTGTTCAACAAACGTAGGGTTTCCAATTGGGCACTGGTGACACGGGGTTCCATTTCTTCTGACTTTGGAAAGAAGCCGTGTAAGTATTCAGTAGAACAAGTTTAGAGTGGGAAGTAGACGAGGTCAGTCAAAGTGGCTACTCTAGTTTCCCTGAGTTGAACTGGTAGCTGGTGATTTGGCAGCAACCAACCGGAATGTGGGATTTCCTTGAGTTGTGTCGATTAGATTCCAACATTCGTAGGTGCGAGAATGTTGTGTATGAATAACCTAATAATATGCCAACTATACCAAAGGTAAAATAACACCAAGGAAGTTCAAACATGTATTTTATATCTATAGAACCTGATCAGATTTACAAATGATTACCCCAATATCTAGAGAGTTGTGAAAGTCCTTTAAGAATATACAAAGAACATTTCCAAATACAGGACCACTTTAACAATGTCTGTCCAATACAATTCACAGTAGAAATTGACCCCTAGCATCAAGCTGTCAGTTGGAGTAGTAGGAATATACCAGAGACCAATGGTGTCCGAAAGGTAGATACCTAGATGTTATAGAACTACAATTCCCATGATTCTTGCATGCCTTTAGAATGCTTTTTTAATATCAAAGCATCATGGAAGTTGTAGTTTTAAAACATCTGAGGATCTACCTTTTACTGCTAAAGGAATACTGCCAGGGGAATCATGCAAAATTCCAGGAAGATTGTCTGATTTATTGACCCAGCATATTGCCGGACCAATATGCACAGGTTTAATATTTCAAGAGTTGAAAATGCATTTCTCTGTTTTCTGCCTAGTAAAATGAATATAAAAAAGGAAAAAAATAAAATGTTGGCAGTTTTCAAGAATATATTTCAATATCTTGCTTCCAAGTGCTTATTAAATTGCAAAAATTTGGCCTTCCAGGGAACAGGATGATTTTTAACTGCCTTCACATCTACAGATGTTGCACAAATGTCAGAAACCTGTTGTAGAACAGCGTATGCCTTGTCCGAACGTAACATTCCAATGGGAATTAAACTGATTTTCTGTAATCATAAATCTTTTAGGATCAAACACAGTCTGGCCCTCATAACTTAAAAGGGTGGTCTCACCAAATTGTATTGTTGGCGTCACTTTGAAATTTGCTTGTTTTGCATATTTTATCGTTTCAAAACTATGTCAGTTTTCACGAAATATCTTATTTCTGTTAATGTAGTCTTGTTTTTTTATTTGTGCGAAAAGCTCAGATCTGCTTAACCTTATTGTTGGTCCTGTAGGACCACAAATTCTACAGGACTTGATACAACAAGGATACGATATGATTACAAACCTTTGTAGGATGGACGGAAAAACAATCAGAACTCTAGTTGCCGAGTGCCCGTAACAGTCTAGAAGAGAAACAACAGATGAGACTTGAGGCCTGTGTTCAATGCTCAGCAGACTGAAAACAGGAGAAAAACATTGGATAGATTGTAGCCGTATTATGAAGATTAGAGTTGAGAACTTTGGAGAATGAGTTCTGGACAAATTGGACAGTTCGGAAAAAGGCATACTGGAAGAGAGAAGCGCAAGTGAATGTAAAGACTAAAACTATATTCTTGATTGGAAGGTTTAGAAGCCAGTAAAGGGCTTTGTGGAATGGATAAGCAGGAAATAATTAGTGTGTACAGAAGATAAGAAAAAGGTTGCAGTAGTTAAAGTGGGAGATGAGGGAATGTATAGCATTTTTATGGACTCTTGAATAAGAAATAAATACATTTAAGCCACACTTTTGAGAGCCCTGTAATAGTCGCTTTTAACAGCATTTTGAGGATAATTAAGCTAAAATCATATCTGAAAGCAGTACCATTTAAGTTAAAACACATCAAATATTGGTGTTCTTCATGCATCATAAAACTTTTTATGCAATTTAACCTCCTGCCAAGTTCCAGGGATATACAGGATGGCCATGGATTCATTTACATAAACAGTGCTCCGATGCTTGGAAAAACACAAATTATTGTTGTCTATTAACTGAAAAAGCAGTGACTTCATGATTTACTTTAACCCTCAAACACAGCAGTTTTGCTTTTTTCCCGCAAATACGGAATAAATAACCATGACGGGTACACAGGAATAGTATAGAAATCTGAAAACTAACAGATCCCTATCGCCCAGGATAGAAGTCATAAACTGACCTCACTTCTTCGTACAGCGAGACACGTATAGTAATAAAGGTTGAAACAATTCAAGTTTGTCATGTTCAACCCTTCACAGATTCCTGTTATCTGTTATTGACCCAATAGCAGGCCAAAAAATTTTTTTAACCGATTTCCAATTGTGTTATAAAAAAAGGAAAATATTAATGTTTGGTTTCAAAGTGGCAATCAGATTTCTTCTTGAATCAACAAGCTGTCACCACAGGTATTAACTATCAAAGCTCAGAAAATACTGCTCCGTCAGGAAAAACATCCAGACCGTTTTAAAAATAGACGATTATTTTTGTAGAACGTCTCTAGACAGAACATTTCAAATATGTATTGTCTTTACTATCTCAGTGGTTGACATATTGTCCTTTGTACAGTACTGGTAATGAACAGGTCACCAGAGGACTCTTGCTATTGGCCACATGTTAAGACAAATTAAACACGGCTGAAAGTCATCTCCCTTCTCTCCACTTAGACCGTGGCTAATTGCAGGACCATTTAGACAAATATCCATTCGACTCTTGCTGCTTTGCACCAATAGTAGCTTTAAGTAAACCGTCTCATTTGTAATGGGCAGAAAATACAGACAATAACATGAAATCTTCTCTTGTCAATGAGAGCCAGCAATCTTGTTTTGGTATTGTTGATTTAGAATCCTCTGCACCTCAGAAGAATAAAATATAAAATGAATCTGACAGATGTAGGACTTCCTGACACAAGCAGAAAGAAAAATATCAAACGGGGAATTCTTGCAATACAGCAGATAGTGAGATTGTATTTGGCACCGAATTTTTGAAAGTCAATCTGTTTGTAGACTTAGCAAACATTATGTTTTGCTACTGAAGAATAATTGACAATCAGAGAAGCGGTGAAACAGAAGAAGTAGCAGATTGGTAAGCTGGAGATCAGATGGAACTTTGGAGAACGGAGCCCAGAAGAAGCGAGAAGAGAACTGGATGTGGTTCAGTTATGATAACTTCACAGAACTGGAAGAAAAATATACCTCAAAACAGAGATCTGCTCGTCCACTGTGTTAGAAAGACATTTCTGGAGAATTTTCACCCAAATATAGAGTGAGCATGGTGTACCATTTACATACCATGCATACGACAGAGCTATGTTTACAACATTTAAACTCTGAAGAATTCATGTTTTCTAGAGAATTAACACAAAGATGAGAAGGAACACACCAAATAAAACAATCTGAGTGCCAGGCCACTAATTTAAAGAGACACTGTAAGCACCTAACCCATATCAACTAAAAAAAGTGGTTTTGGCACATAGACCATTTTTTTTTTCAGGCAATGTAAAACATTGCTGTTTCCCGAGAAATGGCAGTGTTTACATTTGTCCAAAAGCACACCTTCAGCAATTGTCAGACAGACTGCCACTAGAAGAGCTTCCTCCTTAAAACCTTTGGAAATGTAAGGTCTTCCCATATGGCTTTATCATGCGCAGCACAGGGTAGGCGTGATAAGAACTTATAGTCGGAATCTTGTCTTTTTATGTTTACATAGTGACGCGGGTAGAAATTGTAGTCAGATTGTGCAGGCAGTCATTTTTAGCATTTAGCGGAGGATTCAGGTTTTAAATGCCAGTGCAGCCGTTCCTATTACTTTCTATAGGAAATATTAAAACTTTTTACAGCTACTGATCACCATTTACTAAATGTTAACCTTTTGTTGTTTGCTACTTGTAGTTAACATTAGCATCAGCTATTTTAACGATGACCAACTTGATGGTAAAAAGTTACCAATGCTACCATAGAAAGTAACCCTTTATTTCATATTGTGTGACTGAAATACTATCAGAATTTTATATCAGAATTTTATTTTAAACTGATCTATGTGAAGAAAATGTCCCTTTTGCAGATTAGTTAATATCTTCAGTAGTCAAATACAATAACATTGCTCGTAATATGTCTTCTAACTAATAACAGATGATACACTGGTGGCCAGGCCCGGACTGGCCATCGGGCACACCGGGCAAATGCCCGGTGGGCCGCGATGTCCATGGGCCGAGGCCGGCAGGGGAGATCCCAGGATCTCCCCTGCCGGTCCATGCAGGGCCGGCGCTATCCGAGCGCCGGCCCCGCTATGTTCCATGAAGGGCCGGTGGGGAGATCAAAGATCTCCCTCACCGGCCCACATGTGCTCAAACGCGGCCGCCGGCGGGGAGAGAGGGAGGGAGACAGCCGCCAGGAGAGAGGACCCGGCGGAGCTCTAACTTGCAGCTCCGCTGGGTTTCTCTCGCGAGATCCGGACCGTTGCTATGGCAACCGGCCGGGTCTCGCGAGAGTGAACTCTAGCCCCAAAGGGCTAGAGTTCACTTACCACGAGGACCACCAGGGATGGCTGGCAGGAGAACGACCCCCCCCCACCCTTCCAGACTACAGGTAAGAATGGAGGGGGGGTGATATAATGTATTTACTATTATGTATTTATTATTTATTATTATTATTTATTATTATTATGTATTTATTAGTATGTATTATTATGTATTTATTATTATTTGTATTTATTATTATTTATTATTATGTATTTATTATTATTTGTATTTATTATTAATTATTATTTATTATTATGTATTTATTAGTATGTATTATGTATTTATTATTATGTATGTATTATTATTGTTTTAGTAAAACACCTACCTGCCTCCCCCCAATACAAAATCCTTGCAAACACACACATCACCCTCACCCAGCACCCTAACACATACACACAGCACCCTAACACCAGCACCCTAACATTGACACAGCACCCTAACATACACACAGCACCCTAACACTCACACAGCACCCTAACACCAGCACCCTAATATTGACACAGCACCCTAACACACACACAGCACCATAGCACTCACACAGCACCCTAACACCAGCACCCCAACACACACACAGCACCCCAACACACACACAGCTCCCTAACACCAGCACCCTAACATTGACACATCACCCTAACACACACACAGCACCGTAGCACACACACAGCACCCTAACATTGACACATTGCCCTAACACACACACAGCACCGTAGCACTCACACAGCACCCTAACACACACACAGCACCCTAACACTCACACAGCACCCTAACACCAGCACCCTAACATTGACACATCACCCTAACATTGACACATCACCCTAACACACATACAGCACCCTAACACTCACACACCACCGTAGCACTCACACAGCACCCTAACACACACACACAGCACCCTAACACCAGCACCCTAACATTGACACAGCACCCTAACACACACACAGCACCCTAACACCAGCACCCTAACATTGACACAGCACCCTAGCACACACACAGCACCCTAACACCAGCACCCTAACATTGACACTGCACCCTAACA